GGACTGAGCCCTCCGTCAACAGCCGGCCTGCTGGAGCCATGCTAATGTGTGCAGAAGCCGGGGCCACAGCCCAGCCCCTCAGGCCCCCGGGGCCTGCGGTTGAAGGCACCTACGTCCAGAAGCCCGGCTCTCTGCTGCTGTGTGAGCAAGGAAGGGCCAGAGGCCGACCGCTCGCCCTGCAGGCAGGGGTCCCTCGGTCGCTCACTCTCGAGTGACAGCCACACAGCTCTGCACACGTGGTGAACTAGCTGAGAAGGAAGGGCCTTTCCTCCACTGCACAGCCCGGGCCCGCAGTGAGAGCTTAGCACGGCCCGGAGAACAGAGCGCCTCGCATTTCCACCTGCGTCCGCACTGGCGGAACCCAGACCGTGCCTGAGGACGGGGGAGTGGACAGACGGCGGCGGCGGGGCGGCCGGCAGAGGTGAGCAGCCAGCTGGGGACTATGCAAAGCTCGAGCCTGGGCAACTGAGGCGCAGACAGGTCCCTCCCACAGGGGACAAAAAGAGGCTGAGGACACGAGGAGGAGAGAGGAATTCGGTGTTGCCTGGCGCCCTGTGGCCGTGCAAGTGTCAGCAGGAGCCATCGCGGCCCCGGCCCCACACCCGCTACGCTGTGCCACCCCTTCCCTGCTCTGCCTGGCTCGCCCACCGCCTCGGCCCCAGACCCGGCTTGGACACCACTCCAGGCCCTGCGCGCAGGGCATTAGGACGTCCCTCTCGTTCCGGTTTGAACCAAGCCCTCTCCCGGACCCGCGTGCCGAGTCTGCATTCTCAGGACGCCGACAGCGGAGGCGAGAGGCCGCCGAGAGCGTCGCCATGGCTGAGTCCTGTGGGGCCTGTGGGTCTCTATTTGGGGTTTGAATCCTGGTCTCTCCTGCAGAAAGGGATGTCCCAGTGATCAGCACTGCCGGGTGAGGTGGCCGCTGCGGGACGGCCCAGCGTGTGCTCGGGGTCGTAGTGGGCCCAGGCTCGAAGGTCGAGCAAGGGCGGCCCCTTTCCAGGGCCTCATCCCAAAGGCCACTGAGAGCGACCTCCTGTCCTTCCCCTCCAGGCATGTGTGTGCTCGAGGCGGCGGCCAGCAGTTCAAGATCCTAGCGGTGCTGTGTTGTGACAGAACGCCACACTGAGAGGTCGTGAGGAAAGGAAACCACTGCTCACGGTTCTAAGGCTGGGAAGCCCAAGGGCATCTAGCGAAGACCTTTGTGCTCCACCAAGACGGCGCAGAGGGCAGAGACCAGCGAGCCACGCATGCTTGTGCTTACAGCAGCTTCCAGACTTGGCACAGTAGCTGCATAGTGCCCATCCACAGAGGGATGGCAAATCAAATGTGGTGTTTACGTGCAATGGAGTACTACACTGCTGCAAAGAAGGATAAACCTGTGTCATTTGGAAGAGAATGGCTGCACCTTGAGCCCATAATTTTAAATGAAGTAAATCAGACACGAGCTTCAATATCACATGATTTATCTTACACAAGAAACCTGAAGTATGAATAAGGAGCAAAATAAAAGTTAGATAGAAGGAAACAGGGAGATAGGTCTTCTGCAAATGGGGAGGGGGCCAAGAGATGGAGGGAGGAGGGAGGGGTGGGAGAGGGGACATGAAAAGAATTAAGTTGTGTCATGCACATGCGCCAACTCCCCTGAGGGATATGGTGGTTACGTACTGCAAGTGTGTACTAACAAAAATAGAAAGAGCACCTGGGAGAGAGGGCAGGAGCCAGAGAGTCCTGGGCAGAGCACACTCCCTTCTACAACAAAACCACTCCTGCGGGACTGATCTACTCCAGAACAGTGTTCATCCACCCACGAGGGTGTAGCTCTGAGTAAAAATGCACGATGCCCAGTTACATTTGAATTTCAGGTAAATGACAATTTTTAACATAAGCATGTCTTCAATAATGCACAGGACATACTTACATTAAATGCATCCTCTGTGGACTGGAACTTTGAATGTAACTTGGTGTCCTGCATTTTAACAGGCACCCCTAGATCCCCACAGAGGGAGGAGCTTGTTGAACTCCAGGAAGTGGGAGATACACAGGGGGATGTCTGGGGGCAGGTACAGACATCTAGTGTAGGGAGGAGACACACCTGTGTCCCAGGCTGTGGTCGTTAATTGTGATTTGTCACCTTGACTTGAGTGAAAACTGCCTAGCCAATTAGTAAAGCTCTGAGTGTGTCTCTGGATGACTGACATGTCAGGCATAAAATGAGGCAGAAAGACCCGCCCTGGATGTGGGTGGCACCAACCAATAAGGCTGTAGCCCAGATAGAATAAAAAGGGAAAGGAGGAGATGTCTGTCCTTTTGCTTCAGTGAGCTCTAGTCTTCACAATCACCTTTGAATACTTCTTGTCTCCATTTCTTTCAGGCTTCCAATGCAGACCCTTTGGCTTTTGGACAAGGACTTGCACTGTACTCTGCAGAGTGCCCCAGACCTTCAACTTTTGACTGGATCTTCCAGCTCGCCGGCAGGCAGGTGGCCATTCTGTATCCTTCTATCCTGACTCTGCAGGCAGCCATTGTAAACCTACCTATAAACCCGTTACATATCATATATATTTTACATGAAATCTGTTTCTTTAGTGAGCCCTAACTGATCACAGCCCCACACGAAGGGATATAAGCTCCTCAAGAACAGAGCTCAGGCCCTGACAGGGCACCAAGGGCATGAGGACTCCTTCAGGCCACCACTTCCTTTCTCCCGCAAGATATTCTGCAGCCACTTCCTGTCAAGGGAGGCTGAAGCTCCCAGGGCATCTCACTATCACACATGACCACAGCTGGGGGACCTTTGTAGGTATTATTAAATAAGGGAAGAGCCGTTCAGGAAGAAGGAGTGGGTTGGGAGAGACCCTGAGGACTCATTGTTGTGACTCTATGAATGGCTCCTTCTTCTGTACCCTTCACCTTGATCGACTCATTTTGTCCAGATCTTTGTTAATTCTTTGTTGTTTCAGGACAGAAGTCAATGCCCCATCCAAAGCCCGTCTTATGAACTGTGAGTGGTTGTGTCCTCTCTCCCCGCGTAGGTGGCTAACGCTGAGAACAATTAGGTGCATTTGGTGCCTTCTTAGTGGGAACTCACAAAGCTCAAGTGGGTTGATGTTAAGTTTTGGGTCCCAGAAGTCAGAGTTAGGCACTGGCCTAGAATACAAGTCACCAGAGGAAAGGAGGGCTGAGCCAGAGGTCTTGGAGTCATTCAAGGATTGAATGTCAAAAACCGTCTTGTGGGCGGCCATGACAGGAGCAGTTGGGCCAGGATCCAAGCAGACATGGAATGGGATGGGTGCAAATCCAGAGCAAAGAGAAGAGGAAATAGGATAAGCATGGCATTGTGGGGTAAATTGTGTCCCTCCAAAGGGATGTTATCGTCCTAACCCCCACTGCCTCAGAATGTGGATTTATTTGCAAATAGGATCTTTCTGGAAGTAATCAAGTTAACATGAATTCATTAGGGTGGGTCCAGATCCAGTATGGCCAATGTCCTTATAAAAGGGAAAATTCACTCCCTCCAAAGCACCATGTGAGCATGAAGGCAGAGACAGGTGTTGCATCTACAAGCCAAGGAACACCAAGATTGCTGGCAAGCCATCAGGTGCTAGGGGAGGCCGGTGCAAATTGTGCCTCTCAGGCCTCAGAAGCACCAGATGCTCAGCGCTCTGATCTTGGACTCCTGGCCTCCACAGCCAGGAGAAAATGGGTTTCTTTGCTCAAAGCTGCCTTGGGTTTGGCACTTATTATGGTGGTCCTAACAGGGGCCTGGAGAGCTAACACGAGGTAGGCTGGGTTCTGTCAGGAGCATGTTTCTCTCTAACGAGGCAACATCACCCAGTTCCTCGGCCTCAGAGCTGTCTCCACAGCAATTATTCCATGTTCTGGTTTCCTGCCACAGGCTCCTCAGGACGTCAGACCTCCACACCATGCTGTGCATTTGTTGTTCGTGGGTGTCTTTTAGGCTTCTCCCTTTAGTGTGGCTCAAGCAGCAGTCTTGGCTCCTGCACTGTGTGACTGTCTCATTTTCCCTTGGTGAGATGCCTAACTTTATATGTCAACCCGACTGCGTCACGAAATGCCAGGACCTTTGATTAAACATGGCTTTGGGTGCGTGTCTGTGTGTGTGATCTGTCTGGATGAGACTAGCATTTGAGTCTAGATAAGCAAAGAGAATTGCCCCTCTGACATGGGTGGGTATCATCCAATCTCCTGAAGGCTTAATGGAATGAAAAGCTAGCCAGGCATGGTGGTGTGTGCCTGTTATCCCCGTGCTCCGGGAGGCTGAGGCAGAAGGACTGCAAGTTCAAGCCCAGCCTGGACCCCTGAGTTACAGTTTGTGTCTGGGTGTCCCCCCAAAGCTACATGTGGTTATGGGGCAGACTTTTCAGAGGTGGCTGAATTTGTGGCCGATTGGTGGTCCATCGCTAGGATGAAGGGTATGAGGGATACACACACCCTAGGGCAGATAGCCTGCCTTCCAATATAAGGGGCAGAAAGAGGTTTTTCTCCTCTCTCCGCTCTTGCTGCTTTTGCTGTCTTCTGTGGTCATGGACGGTTGCCCCTCTGCCATGTGCCACCCTGCTTTGGGCCAGCCTCATGTGCTCAAGATGGGTCTGGGGGAGGTGACTGGATCACGGGTGTGTGCTACTCATGGGGGAGTTAGCTCACTGGTGAGTGTATAGCTAAAGGTACTGTTGGGAGGCAGAGTCTGATGGGAGGAGGTGGTCACTGGGGCGTGGCCTGGAAGGCTCTATCTTCTTCCCTCCTCCTTGACCTCGCTCTACTTCCTGCTGCCCTGCCATGGGCTGTTTCTCAGCTTACTACCCTGCTGCCCTGCCTTGGAGCCAGCCGATTGTGGACTGAAACCTCTACAAACTGTGAGCTAAAGAAACCTCTCCTCCCTTGATTTGTGGGTGTTGGGTATTTTGTTTTAGCAACAAGAAAAGTAACTAAGACACCCTATCTGAATGTTAAAAAAAAAAAAAAAAGTTAAAGTGCTGGGAATGTAGCTCAGTATAAAAGCCCTGGGTTCAATTCTTAGTAGTGGAAAAAATAAAAACAAAAACTGAGCAAGAAGGAATTTTTTCTGTCTGTGAGCTAGGTCATTGGTCTTCTCCTGCCTTCCTACAAGGGCTTGAGCTGGAACCTACACCATGTGTCATCCTGGTTGTTGGGCCTTCAGCCTTGGCCTGGACCCCTACATCAGCTACGCTTAGTCTCCAGCTTGCGGACTGCAGGTCTTGCTTGAGCGATGCCTTGCAGTAAATCAGCCTCCTTCTCACAGGGCAGGATACACATCTGGACGCGGTTTCTCCCGAGAACCTGGTCCATTGGCTTCCCCTTCTCAATAAATGATCCTCAGGCATCCAGATGCTCAAACCAAAAATCCTGGCGTTGCCTCTCAATTCCTTCTACCCAGTGCATCTGAGAACGCTATCGACTGGGCCTCAGAAACGTACCCTGAAACTCTCCACCTTCCCCTTGCCCACAGCTACCTGCAGCCAAGTCCTCATTCTGGTACTCAAACCGAGGCAAGACTGAATAGATTTTTGAGTGCATGAATGATTCAATTGGTGCAGACAATTTCAAGCAATTTAAGAAACATTCTCTGCCATGTGCTTGGAAAATATCACTAAATGCTAGTCTTGATGACTTCTGTATTCTGTGGATTTATATATTTTTGTTATGCTATTTCATTTTTTAGAAATAGGCTCTCATTTGGATGGCTAGTGTTCACTTGCAAAAGGATAGCTGAGGTTCACATATTTAAACTCGCCGAGGTGCCGTCTCCTGGACTTCATCTGCTGCTTAGGCTGTAATTACTCTAGTCTGACCCAAAGCCTGCCCTTCTTATTCTGCTCAGATACGGAATCCAGGCTCAAGGAGCTCTCTGTAAAGCACATTTCGGCACGAGGCTCTGTCAGTCTGTTATAGATTCCCTTGTACAGGGCACCTGCTAGGACCGGCGGCAGCTGTGTTGCGGGGACATCAGTCTCAGCGTCGGGTCCCTTGCTCTGGTCCTCCAAGGCCCTCTCATCTGCTGTGTGACCATGTGCTTTTGTCACGTGTGTCACTGTGACATTATAGTCCTACTTTTCCTGGCACAGAGGTCCCAGAGCACCCGTGGGTGCCTGGGCACTCACCTGTGAGCACTGCTGCGCCACCTGGTGGCCGGGCGGCTTCTCGGCGACTCGGGGGCGGGTAGTGCACATGGCTGGAGACACTGACCGCGGACCCGGCCTCCGTGCCTGGGACTTCATCTCGCTGCTCAGAAAGGTGTGCAGTTCAAAGCTCTGGGATTGTTAGTGACTGAAAGTTTCTGTATTTGGGGACTGCAGTTGACCTAAAGCAACTGAAGCCTTGGGAAGCAAGGCCACGGGGAAGGGAGTGGGGGGCTACCGGATAGTCTGTTACAGCTTTCTGGAGGAAGGGCCCCCCTTTTCGTAACAGCCAGACCACACAAGCCCGGACCCACCTACCTGGTCCCGTGCCTGGTGACTGCCGGGGTCACACGGTGGCAGTGTGGCATCGCGGACGGAGAGTGCAGTGCCTCCTCTGGCCGCCAGCCCCAAGGCCCTCGGGCTTCAGAGCGACTGTGTCTTCCCTGTCCCTGAAGCGACCTCCTTCAACTCCTGAACTTTCTTCTGGTTTTAGAACCCAGGACTGGCTCCAAGTTCATTTTCTGGGATGTTCTGTGTTGGTTTCAAAGCCTAATTAACACACTTTCGTCTAGGGTACTTCTGCCTCCCTGAGATGGGTTTGACAGACGGTAGGTCCTGCTTGTTGGGCGGGTGCCTGGCCGCAAAAGGGCCTCGAGTGGGTCCGCTCCGCGGTGTTTACTTCTTTACCATTTACTTATGCATTTCACAGAGGCCCTGGATTAACAGTTTCACACGTTGACTGTTCCCTGGAGAAGCTGTGAGATGCGGTGTGCATTATACAGACGGAGGACTTCGGCCCAGAACTTAACTTGAGGTTACGAAACTCACCCAGATCACAGATTCGGAGCAGAACTTCTGGTCCTAACTCTTTACACTCCTGTCTTCAGAGGCGGGTGAACGGCTCCTCCAGAGGGCTCCTCCCTCGCCATGGGAGAGGAGGTGAGGCAGGGAGGCCGGAGGCCAGGAAAGAGCTTGTCCCTAACCATGTTACCCCATACTCTATCCTGCAGGGCATGCTGGGAGCAAGGTGAAGGAAGCCACCTGCCTGGGGAGCAGCTGCTCAAACAGGTCACCGGGCTGGGGCTGTCAGAGGCCCCTGGGACGACCTTGCTGTCTTGTCCTGGACAACTACAGAGCAGGTCCCCTGCATTAGAGGGGAAGGAGAGAGAGGAGGAGGAAGAGGAAGAGAAAGAAGGAGAGGTAGAGGAGGAGGAGGAGCGGGAAAAGGCCTAAGGCAGGGAGATACAGACACAGAGTCTGGGGCCTGGGGGCACCGCCCACCCTCAGCCAGTACCCGGCCACTCCTCAGCTTGACCCACACTGCAGCCCTCCAGGGTGCCGAGGGGAGGGCTGAGTGCACCTCTCCATGGCAGGACTCCAGCTGCACGTGGTGCCATCGGTAAACTACGGTGTGTGTTTAGATTCTTAAAACTGTATCACAGTAAAGACACATTGCCACGACTCTCCCTCAGAATCCTCCACTCACTTCAAACACACTCCTCCCGGGTCCTGGCCACGTCCTGCAGCAGCTCGGGAGTGCTCCCTCCTGAGGGTCTTCAGTGGCGCTGTCCTGGTTGCTTGACGTCCTGACCTGATCCAGAGCACTCCCCGCTGCCTGCTCATGCTGACTTTGGGGAGGAGCCAGAAGTCACGCGGTGCTGGATCTGGTGAGTAAGGAGGAGGAGGACACAGCATCGCGGTTTTACAAGCTGCCGGGCAGCAGTGGTCCCTGCGTTTTTGATCACACCTCGTGGATCTCCTCCGTTGGATCTGGATCTGGACCTGGATGTAGCACAACTTTGACTTGGGACTCCATTGTGATGGCCATGAGGAAAGGACTGGAGAGGTCCATACCTGTGGAAGCTGCAGAGATGGAAGAGCCTCCTGGGCATCCAGAGCCCCTTCTGCAGCTGCCCAGGATGGACACCGAGTTCGCAGCCCAGACCCAGGGCACAGTGGAGGCCCTGTGTTGGGGACCAGGCCACTGAGTGTGGAGCCAAGGTTCTGCCCTGTGAGGAATGGGCCTGAGAAGAGGCGGCGGAGGTCAGGGCCCGAGGGCGGCGGCTCGGAGGGAGAAGCCACCCTAGCTCCCGCGGCTCCCGCTCACCCAGGGTGGCAGCTGACGCACTCTGCGAGCCGGGTCTGGGTTCTAAGTCCGCTCTGTCACCTGCTGGTTGCGGGCCTCGGTGTGTGCCACATTCTCAGCCTCGACCCCACAGGGCGCTCAGGCCACCTCGGCTGGAGGACGAGCTGAGAACAGGTGACGGGCTCTCCGAGCTCGCAGGGCTCGGCTCTCCCCGGTCTCCAGCGGGCGTGTGCTCAGAATCCACCCGGCGAGCAGGCGCGTGAGGCTGGGTGGCCTTGCTCTGGATCACCGTGGGCTCTCGCTGTCAGTCGACGCGTCACCTTCGCTCCTGTACCCCGGAAATGCCCGCGCTGACTCCCACTTCCCGGCACGCACAGCCGAATTACAAACCTTCCGCCAGAAGCTCCGCTGCGACCACGGCTCTGCTTGCCTGCCCGCCGCACCCCGGGAGCACTTGCTGTGGAGATTTTACCTAATCCTGAGGTGTGCTCTGGGAGGGCCACACGGGACTGCTGCTTCCAGTGATCGAAGTGGTTCCGTGCGACCATTTCCCACGCTCTACCCGGCTTGCGGATCGGCTGCTGTTATTATTCTCACTGCACAGGTGAAAAATGCCAGACTTGAGGGTCAGCGGCGCTCCTGCCGGCCCTCTGACAGAGCGGGCGCCCCCAGCTGCAGGGCGCTCAGAGGCCGCCGGGGACCTGTCACCCGGCCACAGTGCAGACTGTCGGGAGCCAGGGCCCGCGCACTGTCCCTGTCCGTCGTGGCTACAACCCCCAGGGGCTTCCTGCGGCCTGGGGGCCACACTGCGCACGGTTGGGCTGGGCCAGCTGAGCCTTAGCAGCCCCCAGCGTGGAGTAAGGACAGCACCAGGCAGGCGCGCTCCCCACGTCATCCCCTATCGGGGGGGACGCGCCTCGAGTCCAGTTTGACTGAGTGACCGGCGCACTTACAGGCAGAGGGTGCTGGGTCTTCCCCTCCCTCCCTTCCTAATCCCTTCCCTCCCCCGCTCCCTCCCTTTCAAATTCCTCCCTCCCATGCTCCCTCCTTTCCTTCCTTCTTCCCCTCCCTCCCTCCCTCCCCACTTTCCTTCCTTTGTTCCTTAATTTTTCTCCCTCCTCTCTTTCTCTCTTGACTTCTCTCTTCCCCTCCGTGGCTACTGTATTAGTTAAATATTTTTCTCAGACGCAGCACAGAAACTACTCTGGTTTCACTGACCTGAAGAACCGACTGGAGGCAGAATTTCCAGCGAGCCTGTGGGACCCTGCTCAGAGCAGACGCCAGAACCAAGGTGGCTCCATCCAGGGGTCGGGAAGCTGGGGCCACCACCGCCCAGAGGTGGGATTATGTGGGAGCTTCCTCCGCAGGCGACAGGGCCGCTCCAGGCTACCGCCCTCTGCTGCCCAAGGGCTGCCACTGCGAAGTTTTAATGCCTGTTCCCAGCCCCGGGCCAGGTCTAGTGCGGGTTGCACGGCCGACCTTGGCTTCCATGCTGGGACAAGATGCCAGGGGACCAGGAGACGGAGGCGGGTGGCACTGTCCCCTCACGCCAGCACTGGCCAGGAGAAGAGGCCGGCGCAGCACAGCCACCTGCAAATGCCCTTGGCACAGCTGCTTTCTTGAACTCTACCTCCTAGGGAAGAGAGAACCGCTCAGCCGCCCTGCAGTTCCTGGGACCCTCAAAGGGAAAAGGGGACGGGACAGCCGGGCCCGGAGAGCCCAGTGACAGCACTCAAACGGCGCCAGGCCTTCGGCCCCGCCCAGCGGTGGAGGAGGGAGGAGAAAAGTTCCTACTCTGATTTCTCATCTGTTGGCACAGCTCCCAAGCGCTTTCTGATGACTAAATGATTCCGAACCCAAGCAGGACCTGCAGGAGACCTCCCTGCCCCACGTGCCGCTGGGCAGGATGAACCACGCGCCGCTCCTCGGCGGAGGCCGGCAGGGCGGCCCTGTCCGAGATGAGTCCTGGAGCCGAGGACGGAGGGAAGCTGTGTGTCCAGCTGGCTTAAACCTCTCTTGTGTCTGGATGGCAGCGTTACCATGGCTATGTTCTCATCCACAAAACAAAGCCCAGCCTTAGCCTTAGGAAGCCACGGAGTTGCCTCCCACTGCCACCAGGAGGGGGCGACAGTGTGGCGGGAACGCTGTCCTTGCCACCTCCCCTCGAGGTGGAAGGATGTCTTCTTCCTTTGTCTGTTATGAAGCTGATTTAAAACTTTACAGTCTGTTCAGGGAGTAGGTCCTTGTATCAGGGAGAGAGGGAATCCACAGAGAAATCAGGCTCAATGTGAAACCAACAGGATTTAGGCTAAAATAGCAAGAGTCTGGGGACCAGCAAGCCTGACACCAGCGTTCCTCTGTGAGAACAGAGCGTGTCTTTGTGGCCCCGTGGACCACCAGAGTGACAGAGCAACCACTTGGTGGCAGTCCAGGGACTGAGGGGCCTTCAAAAATGACAGCGTACCTTTAAGAGAAATACACTGTCCGTTTCACATTTAAGCACATGATCATGAAGTCAACACTTTCATTCTGGGATCCACTTCCTAAGAAATGAAAAGAAGTCAGGTGTGTGGCACACGCCTGTAATCCCAGGACTTGAGAGGCTGAGGCAGGAGGATCACCGTGAGTTCCAGGCCAGGCTATATAGCGAGACCCTGTCTTGAAAAAGTAAAACCAAACAAAAGTAAATGAAAAGTAATAAGACCTGCAGTCACTGCTTCTGCAGTATAATCTTGGGTTGCTGATTTCCATGCTTGAGAAAATGCATGATCGTTTTTTTCTTTTTTCTTTCTTGAGATAGGGTTTCACTCTGCAGTTCAGGCTGGCCTAGAATTCGCAGCAGTCCTCCTGCCTCAGCTTCCCCAGTGCTGGGATCACAGGCGTGTGTCACCATGCTCAGCTACACTATCATTTCTATGGTTGAGCAGCCTCACTACTCCATCAATCAGTCAGCAGCCCACTGGCAGCCATGTGGGGGTGGCTCTTCCTTGCTGTCCTGCCGACACTGGGGTCTCAAAGGTGCACAATGGCCACGTCACTTACTGACAACAGGAAAACAAGCGGGGGGATGGGAGGGTCAGCGGATGGGAGAAGACTGTCAGCCGGAGGGTGAAGTGTGGGCCTCCTGGACTGCAGGGCGACCCAAGCCAGTCTCCTGGGGGGCAATGGGATGGAAGGCTGTGTTTGCCCTGGAAGTGACCGCTCATCCTGTAAGACGCAGCCACGTCCACCACTCCGACCTCAGCCTTCTCTCCAGGCTCGTGGACGTGGAGGGGACCGTGACCACCCCAGTCTTGTGGGGGAAGCTCCTTGAGGTGTGGGGAGGCCTCAGTCTGCTGTGTGGTGCGTGACCCTCGGCAGGTGGTGGCCCCGCTGTGCCCTCTTTAGACTGGGGACAGCAGGGGTCCACACGTCACGAGGCTGTGTGAGGAGTGACGGGCGTGCACTGCCTGCTTCGTGCTGGGCTCCAGGGAGGCTTCCTAGAGGAGGAGAACCTGCAGCGATGGCAGGTCGGGAGTATTCAGGAGGAGCTTCCACAGGGCCAAGGGAAGGGCAGACATAAAAGTGGAGCATGAGGGGGTGATCCAGAGGAGCCGGGCCCCCGACTGAGCACTGCTCAAACCAGAAGCCCCGGCTGTTAGGCAGACAGCAGCATGGCCAGTCACACTGCTGGGTCCGAGCAAGGCTCTCCTCCCTGCCATCCCCTCCGCCTAGCTCTAGGCAACAAGGACAGCTGCTCGTCAGATGCCCTCTCAGGGCCAACATCCTCCATCCAAGTGCACTTGGCAGCACAGATACGTGTGTGTCTACACAGCCCAGAGACCTTTGCAACCCTCATGCACATGTCTGGGGTCACCCCAGGAGGCAACATTTCCTTAAGGTCACTCATCCATTCTTCCATCCTTCTAGCCACTCATCCACCCATCCACCCATCCATCCACACACC